GGATGGGGGTGATCTGGTCCATGAGGAGGAGGGGGAGGAGGAGGAGCAAGTCCTTCATGGCTGTCTTGATCTTCCTTGCTGAAGTTGTGGTTATGCTCGGGGTCTTCAGGTCTGGGTTGAGAAGAGGGTGGACATTCATGTCTGTGATGATGTCTATGATGATGTCTGTGACCAAAATGATGACGAAAATGGGGATGTCTGTGTGGTTTTCCACCTTTGCCTCTTCGCCCAAAGCCAAGCTGCTGTTTATAAAAATACCAGGGGAGGAAGTATTAAGTCAGGTGTTGCTAGGACAGTGATGGGAAGGAGAGAGGTGGGAGTTAGTAGGTCTGCGTTTGTAGCTCAAATGATCTTTAAGGAAAAAAAGGTGCATTTTTTTCAAGATAGAAGAGAAGGAGTAGATGAAAAAATGCCAAATTACTGAAAATCTTCTGGAAATACTACACCATATCAAAATTATATAACCAGCTGAGAAATATTTGTGACAGATCAAAACAAAACCACACTAAAGTACCTCTTGTAATATAAACTGTAATACCAAATATGATAAAGATCATCTCCCCTCCTCTTGCTTTCTAAAATTCCTTTGAACGTGTTTGCCAGTCTTTACTCTCTTAAACTAAGCCAAGTGATTGACCTGAGAGAAGACTTGGAGGGATTAGTAGTGACAGCTCAATTCTAATTCATCTTCTGATTGACCTCAAAGGTCGGTCTGTCCTAAGATGATGCATCACATCCAGGCGGTAATAAATTGGCATAAACAATTGTTACAATCACCTGCCAGCATGGACTAAGCGAGGTTGCTGTAACCTGCACAAGAATAAACCTGGAGACATGTCCACAAGTGAGTACATACCCAGGGATGGTAGATTTCACAACTTATATCTGTTCCATCAGGTTCATCTGCATCACTGATCACTCTCGCCGTGCAGAATCCCATGTGCTAAGCAAAAGAAAAGCAAAAAAGAACTGCAGTGCACATCTGGGTTCTTGTGATGGAGTTAACAGAAGCTACTGACAGTTGCACGTTTTACGAGTGAGGCTGGTTCCCTCAGCACCTGAGTGTGTTCACATAGCTTAGCTAAATCCTGAGCTTTCTGGCCAAGGCTTTCTAGCAATTAATAATGATTCAAATATGTGCCATTTTTGAGGGTTCTTGACCGTGATGACCATTTTGCCATGAGCATCCAGAGGGCTTCTACTCCCCATCTTACTTCTCTTTTGAAGTCTAAGAAACTGGCCAGCTCCTGATGCCTCCAAAGAAGAGACTCACACTGTGAGTGATTGATTTGTATTCCCTTTTTTTGTCTTTGCTTGTCAAACACATGTTCAGATAGTGCTATCCTGAAATTTTGCTAAATTCTCAAAACCTGTCACTGTGTAGCTGTGCTGTTTCAGCCAAAGTTCAAAGCAGAACTTTTTTCCTTGTTTTAAAAAATAATTTATTGTAACTTTTTAGCATTTCTTCCCTTAGCATCCTGTTTGCCGTGACTTTCTCCTGCTGTCCAGTCGTTGTGTGTGGAATTGCTCATATGAAAGAGCACAAAACTCGTATGAGGGTTTCTGTGTATGCTACCTCTAGTGAATGCTTTATCTTGATATATGTTTGGGCCATTAGTAGCCCATTATGATCAATGATTAAAAATGTTACTGGCATTTTACACGCACAGCAGAGGGGGCAGCACTGGGAACAGAATTCAAACCCTCTATGGCCATTTCATTTTGTGCTTCATTGTAGTGAACTTGTGACTCTGCTACCAGTTGTATCACAATCTTTTTCAGCCTTCTGGGGTATACAAAGTCAGAGAGGAAGATGGATGCAAATAAAGCAGAAGTTTTACATGATTTTTTCTATGTTCTTGTTTCATTCCTTCAATTTACTTTCTGGGAAATAATTTATTCTGAAATTATGAGACCTTGCCTAGCTTGGTGTAGACTATTGTGGTAATGGGAAAGTGGGGTGAGGAGAATACTTTGGTGGTTATCTGCAGACAAGCTTGATTTATATAATCTACTCTCCATTCCTCTGCAGCAGAGGAGAAAAAAGTAACCCTGAGCTTACTGGGATGCCATAAGACATGCATATTTTTCAGCATCTATGACTCATATTAGTGGAAAAGTTTTTATGAACATAGCATGAATGATTTGCTAGGGATTGGCCACAGTTTGAATGCAAAAGCCAGATACAACCTGAAAAGCTCTAGGCCTCTAACATGCCAGAGTCCAGTTACATTTAGATTTGAGAGCTCAACCTGTCTCCTTATAAAATAAAAAGAAGCAGCTGTAAAATTAAGATCTGGGCTTGGGCGTCCTGGACCTTTAATTTTGAGTGTGGCTTGATGGTTATAAGAAACATTTGGAAATATATTGGTAAATCTTTCTGGTCCCACCCATTGTATCAGTTCTTATTCTAAGACTTTACTTACAGCGTGCCAGTCATGGAGAAAATCACATCCCAATGCCTGATCTTCTTGCTGCACAGTTTCAGAACAGTTTGTCTCCTTTATAGAGAATCCTAAAATGTGACCTTCCCGGGAGGCAGTCTGAAACCAAGAAGTCAAACAAGAATTGGTAACTAGGTGTATTTAAAATCCTGTAATTTTCAAAGCAACCATATTTCATCTTGTCAAAATCCCATCGAGGTCACGCTTTCCTTTCGTGTCCTGTTCAAGTGTTCGTACAAATACACATATTCAGTGAGGAAAACAGGTTAGATACTTTATACCTTACTTTCCTCACACCCTCACAAGTTCCAGGGATGCTTACTTTAATTCTGTGTCTAGTGTGTGTGTGTTATAAAACCTGTTACTTTTACAGCTTGTGTTTTTAGGCGGTGATGTCCTTAGAGTCCTCCTGGAGCTGAACTGCTGTTCCTGTGAAAATAGAGAGATCTACTGGATGGCAACCACCCCTTTCCAGTGATGAGGGTGCAGAGTGCTGATGTTAATTTGGAGTGAAACCTGTGAGACTATTGCTTTCTCTCATGGCAGGGGCATTATTCATAGAGAAGGCATTACTCCATATGAATATGGGAGAAGGCCTTTGTGATCCTATTAAAATCCATAAGGAGGTGTTTCATTTTAATTCCAACTGTAACAGTACTTTATTTCAAGTCTGTGTTAAAGGTGTCCATAGCATGTGTGCACACACAAGTTTCACTACTTTAACTAAACTGGTTAAAAGTGGATGCACATACTTTATGGTATAGTTTTTTATTGTAATTCACAGTTTCTGAGTGTTAGGCAGTCTGTTCCAATCCAGTGGTACAATCTAAAGTGTCAGTGTAGCTGAAAACAAAGTGTTTGGGGAGAAATACATGAATCCAGGCAATCTGGAAACAGCCATTTGCTAAACAGGAGTGGGGGTATATCCTGCATGGGGTACAGTGTGGGACACTGTCAGGTTTCTGAGCAATATTAAAAGCTGCAGGGAGGTGAGGTTGGCATGCTGTAATTTAGGCAGTTTCCAACATCAGGATGTGTTATGGGAGGGGCTGTGGGACTTCATTACAGAGCTGTCCTGAGCTGACACATTGTCAGAATGACCCTGTGCTGTTTCAGTAAATGTCTCCAATATTTACCACCAAAAAATTTTGGTGATGTGAGGGTTATATTTCAAATCAACCAAGGGATAAGTCGTCATGTTGACATCACTCAAATATGGAGTTATTGGAACTGCTCACCAAATTTGGTAGTTTATAAGTAATTCTAGGACAAAATGCCACTTACCATCTTTAAAACCCTTTCAACTTTGTCCACAGCGAAGTAGTTTGTGTGGTTACTCTCGATCTTGAATTTCCTCAGGGCCTTTGTAGCAATATCTTTGTGTTGCTCTGTGACTTCTAAGACTTCAATTTTCACAGGACAATCTTTGCACTCTAATAAATCAGGTGGAACTGTAAAAACAGAGGATTTACTAATATTGCAATGGATATTAATACTCTTGTGAGCGTGCCTGTGCTTTTAGTGTGAACTTATAATGAGAAATTGAAATGCAGCATTTCTTTGGAAGTGAAATACCTGTCCCTCACTCCACAAATATGGATTTGTCTTGTAACATGAAAAAAACCCAAACCCATGAAAATGAATATTCTTATAAATCTTTTAGCTCCACCTTAGAGTCTTACTGGCCCAGATGGGCATTCTTTCCAAGTTTACATTTGTTCTGATATTCATTATGATGTTTTGGTGGACTGGAATGGTGATATCATCTGACATCAATAAAGTCTGGTTTAGAAGAGCAGGGTAACCTTAATTCTATTACTCATTCTTAACATTCCATTTGAATTATCTAAAATATGAATTGCAAGCAGATGAATGAATCTGTTACGGTTCCCCTATACTGGTGGTGCACAGGCTTTGGTACTAGGGCTGGTTTGAGGTATGCATTGGCTTACAACAGTGGTTATTTTACCTGGACTTAATGTACAATTAAATCCATATAGCTGAGGTTTCTTCAGCAGATGGTTTGTATATGTGATAATCTTACACTGCCCAAAGTCCTGAGAGGAAAAAAGAATACATGATTATTCATAATACATGATGTTATTTTCACTGGATTTAATTGGATGTAGGTGATCATAGAAATTAAACCTCTTTTTAATGTGCAGTGCCTCCAAGAATAACAGATGTGGTCATTAATGGAATGTTTGATCTGGTACCACTCAAAATTTGTCTTCAGATAAAATGGGATCTCTCTTTACAAGAGCCTTTATTTTAATTCTCAGAGTGCACGACTGAGTAGACAATGGAAAACTGAACCAGCCTTCTCAGCCATGCTAGTACTTATTTACAGTGAGATAATACTAGTTAACAGGGGAGATGAGGATGTTGGGTTCATAAACCTTTATCAAAAAGTGGAGGGACCTTTTCTTCCTTTTCCCCATCTTAAGAAAAAGAGTAAATGCCTTCTCTTCTCTCCTCGTGGCCTTCCTGCTTTGTCCTTTGTCATAGTAACCAAACTCTCCTATTTAAACAAAGTTTTGGACTGGGAGTTCTCATCCCAGCCTGCCTCATTGGACTGGAAAAAAAAGAAAGGGCAAGTATTGCTGTATATCACTCGTGTACTGACACCACCAATATTTCACATTGTCATACCACGAATGCTGTGACAGAAAACTGACAAAATACACCGCTGGTATTTCTGGCTCATATACTAGGAACATGCTTAAAAAATAATTTCCAGTGCCCTTTAGTTGTCAGCAAATTGCCCTTAAAACATAAGTTCTGCTACAAGCAGTGGAATGTGGAGGATAGTTCCTTTGAGACTACTAGTTAAATAAAGCTACACTTATTTGAAGAGTCACCCCCTTTCCAATCCTTTAGCTTATGTTTAACAACTCTAGAATTAAATAGATTTTATTTTAGAGTAAACCATATTAAAGCCCAGTCTTCACTTGGAGGTTTTGTGACACAAATTTCTGGGCAGCTCAGATGAAGATCAAGTTAATGAATTATTGGTGTATGACTCAGTGCGGGTACCATTACTTGCCATGGGATAAGTATCACTGTATTCACAGGACTCCCAGTGTTTTCTGGATAAGACAGGGCATTCGGTTTCCAGCACATCCAAAGTTAGGTAGAGGACTGATGAATTTCCCTGGAAGAGAAGCGCAAGTAAAAAAGAGTTTGTAGATGAGAAGTTTGATCTGAGAGAAACTTTTTTTAACGTTGATATGTTTAATCTTTAATGAAGCTTCTCCAGTTCTCTATGAAGGTTTTTCTGAGCTGACAAATGTAGAAAGGGTTCAGGCTGGAAAGGAACTTTGGAGGTCATCTCGCCCAGCCACTTGCTCAAGGCAAAGCTAAAACTTCAAAGTTTCAGCTGCATTCTGGGCATCACCCATACAGACGTTCCACAGCCTCTCTGGGCCATGCCAGTACTTAACCACTTTTGCCATGATTTCTTTTAGTCTTATACCTATTCAGAATTTCCCTTCCTGCAACTGTAACTGTTGCCTCTTATCCTTTTGTTGAGAACTCGTGAGAAGAGTCTGTTGTTAACCTGGCATTCATCAAATACAGAAAATGTCAGTGTTAAAAAGTTGCCATTCCCTCTTTCTGATTTTCACACAGAACACATTGTTCTATGAGGACATCAGTTGTGTAGGCAGCCAATTACATAGCTACCTCCATTTCAAATTATCTTAGTGATCAGATCCTCTTTCAGAACTTTGCTTCCTGATCAGTTTATTCAGGGAGTGATGCAACAAAGCTGTAATAATCCCTACAAAGTCAGGAGCCTTAGCTCTGAAATTCTTCTAATATATTCTGTCTCCTGAGCGAATAGGACGAAGAATTAAAATTTGAATTTGGCTGCCAGTGTAATGGGATGTGGTGCTAAGAATTTTCTGTGGCCCACAGAAGCAGTTTTTTATTTTTCTGCAGGGGAATGAATCTCAATTCACATTTGGAATGAATTATTAAAACTTCATTCAGCCCTCGTATGGACATTCAGAATGAACACATACGTATTTTATTTTGTCATTTAGATAAAAATCATGTAAAGCCCTTCAATGTGAATAAATGTCCTCAGGTTTTATGAAGTTTCATCCATTCAGGTTCTTTTTTTAGAGTGTTTCTGTATACACAAGACCTTGAGAAAGAATTGCTGCAGTCTAATGTAATATTTTTATTAGTGAGAGTCCACCAGTGTCATGTTAAGCACTAGTTTTGCAGAATGCATATATCTTAGGATTGTCTCTAATTTTAAAATAGGGGTTAGGTGGCTTGCACAAAGACATATGTTGTTTAATGACAGAATTGGGAAAAGAATATAATTGTCCTGGACACACATCCTGCCCACTGGACACATGTTTATTCTCTGCTTAGGGGTAGTTAGTGTTTCTATTTATTTTATAAATCTCAATAATTTCAAACTGCTTGTCAACATATTGGTAAAATTCAAACAGAGAGCAGAGACAGTGAGAAACACTATTTTCTGATTTGTATTTATGGAATTGCACTGAATGGAAAGGTGAGATAGTTAAGACAGTCTTTCATAAAACACTATTCACTAGGAATCCTCTAAAACTGAAATTACTAAATGTGTGATGCACTTTGGCAGCTAAACTTGTGAAATGCTAAAAAAGCCAATTCATCCCTGGCAAAGACTTATTTTCTTCAGCAGAATGTGTTTGGATTCACTAAAGCCTAAAGCAGATCTTGGGTAACGTTAAATCTGTACATCCAAATATACAGTAGAAAATTCCTCTGTTCATCTACTGGATAGCTCTTGGGGAAAAAAAAAAAGTCTTACATGGTGCCTTCTTGGTTGTTTTAAAAGCATCTTGGGCACTACTCAAGCCCAGGACTGTTCTGTTCTGGATACTTGAGTATTTTGAGCTTCTAGAACTCCCATGTAAACCCAGTAGAGATCTGGCTGCTGGGAATTGCTCTGCTTAGGTTTCTGAGGGAGCTGATGTGATAGACCTGATGCACACTATTGCATGGAGATAAGAAAAATAATGTTTTTTTTCTTTTATAAATACATACACACACACACACACACACACACACACACACACATATATATAATATCATCTTGGCAGGGAAGCAACAAAAGTTCTTGTACAATAGTGTACATGCCCAGTGTGCAGGAAACACATCTTGTGGCTTTAGATCTAAGAACATACAGAGACCTTACAGGGAGAATTCTTTGACTGTCAGGTAGATAGAAAGGTCTTTTCTGTTCTTGTATGCTCTGTGTGACAGCTGAAGCTGTGGCCCTGGACTGCGAAGACAGCAAAGTTCAGTAAGTGCATGAAAGCAAAACATAAGCACGGTAGTCCAGTGGTTATAGCATTCATCTGAAAGTGTGAATCCTCAGTGCTGGTCCCAATTCCAAGTTATGGCTCTAAAGTTTATATAGTCAATAATTGCTTAAAATGTAGAAATGCTGAGATTTTTCTGTTTAGAAACAACTATGGTTTTTGTCATTCATCCAGTGAATTTTGCATGCCTTACTGCCCAGTAGCTCCACTTCACAGGAGTTCACACACATTGCTGTGTGGCAGCAGCATTCTTCAAGGACAGGAGACTTGAGGGTTGAAATCTGAATGCAGAAGACCACTGATTCCTTCCTAGGTGAGCTCTTCAACTGCCTGGCTACTCCATAAAACTCAACGCTGTCACTCGCCACATCCTTGTCTTTGAAAAGCAAAATAGTTCATCAAGTTTTTTTAAATGGTAGCTGAAGACCTGTGGGAACCAGGGCTTTGGGTCACTTCCTGAGCTTTACTTGTCCTAGCAGGCAGTATTGAGCAGTCTCATCAAAAACTAGCCTGTTTTTCCTTTTACTGTACTGAGATGTGTAACGCTTCCAAAACTGTGTGTGTCTGGATGCAACTGCATTGCCAAGCAGCCAAAGGGTACCAGGTGCATGAGTAAATCTGCCTGTCCTTGGTCTCTTACGTGTTAGTTAAAGAAATTTTGTGTTCTGCTACTTTTTCCACTATCAGTTGTTTTGGCATTTAGGCAATCATTGAGAAAGGCTCATGTATCCTCTCTAGGAAGCAGAAATAGAAGTAGGAAGGAAAAAGGAAATGACTGCTATGGATTCTCTATCCAGCCCCTCCCCTGTTTTGCAGAGTGGCAACTGCTTCGCCTTTCTCTGCCTTTTTCCCTTCCTGCCAGTTAACCAGCTATCTCCAAAATTAGGATAATAACAAAATACTAGTCTTGCAGGATACATTGATCTAGTTGATGTTAGACGTTCACGGATTAAAGAAACCTTCCCAATATAAATGTTGAGTATAACATCTGAATTTTGAGTATAACATCTGAGACTTGACAACAGACAGGACGGATTAATTTCCAGTGCTGTATAAAGCTGTTCAGAGCAACTCTTATGCCAACACCCTGTTGGCCAAGAGAATAGAGGACATTCAGGATCGTTTGAAATCAAGCTTACATGCAATAAATCATGCACAAATGAGTACTGAGGTAGTGTCAATCACAGCTGATTCATTGAATTACATCAACATTAAAAGCAATCTTTTAATGACCTGGCTCATTATTTAAAAATCACAGTCTTGTGTAAATCAGCCTTTAAATGGATACTTACTGTATGTAGTTCATGTGCATCAGCAACACGGAACAAACCAAAAACATAACCATCTCTGCGGTGTTTGTTGACCAAATCCAGGGCCACTCCTGCATCTGTTTCAATGGTGTTACAGTCTGCAGGTGTAAAGCTTGCTTTGTTTTGGGCATTAGAACACTGCAGTAGTGTTAGAAAAAAAGCTGAAGCTAGGAGCAGCATTTTGTTTGCAGTTTTAGGTCACTTCTGCTCATGCCCTGATAAAGCCAGCAGTCTGCTTTTAAATCAGAACACTCCACCAAAGTTATAAATTAATGCTAAAAGGGCATGGTTTGATATAATTTAAGTGTCATGTCAGACAGTCATTGCCTTGACCCTGGATTAACATTTGCAAACAGCAAGTAAATGATTATATAGTGATTTAGCAGATTTTGAGGAAAGTGGGCCTAATAATATTCTCTGGACTACTCATCAAAGGGCCGGTTTGAGATTCTTTATGCAGGCATTGTGCAATAATGCTTTACTAAGAAAAGTACTTATTCCAACAGGGAATGAGCCTGGCAGTAAGAAGGCCCAATTTATGGTGCAGGTGTTACATAATCTTGGTCTTCTGTTTAGTATTAAAACAGTTGAACAGAAAATATGCTGAAATGTTTGTGGTCAAATTATGGGTCTGTCCTTATCCTTGTTTTTACAGATCCTTACCTAGCAGGGAACTAGTGAAAGGGAAACAAGGGAATCACCCAGAGTTGGAAAAGGGATAGAGGTCACTCACAGGTCTGTAGTTTCTATGTGAGTACCTGCTACTCTTCCAGCTCAAGAAAATTTGGAGCAGACTTCTATCAGCTTTACATCATTTCAGACTGGTACACAGAAAGGGACTGGCTTAATACCCATAATCCAGGCACGTCATGAAGTGATATAAAGTTGCCTTTGCATTCTCAATCTGAGCAGTTTTTTGTGCTCTTTGGCTGTAGCAGCCTTCATAGACTTCTTTAGAGAATTGCTGGTTTTGTGGTTTTTTTTTTTTGGTTTTCATTAAAATAATGCAGTACAATATTAAGATTCATACCTTTCACAGGATACACCAGCATCCTCTGCTATGCAGAAAGGAGGAGATGCTGTCTCATTGTATTCAAAATCTTTTATTCAGGATAGTTTAAGACATCAGTAATTGCTTGTCAGGGAGTGGCTGAAGATGGAATACAAAATTCAAACACCGAATAAGAAAATACAAAAATTCAGTGTGAGTCCAAAATGATAAGGTCAGACTCAGATGAGGAAATTTCCAAATCCTGGTTGATGTGAAGGCTGGATTAGCTTCTCACAGAAAAAGGTGCTCGTTGTATAATTGACTTGGGGGCTGGAAGCTGGATGATCTTTAAGGTCCCTTCCAACTCAAACCATTCTGTGATTCTGTAACTTGGGTTTACATGTTTGACCTTGAAGGGTTTTTTTACTTACAGTTTGAGAAACAATCAGAAATATAACGGGTAGTCATCCTCGACCATTACCTCATTTCATTAACCCTTGTTTTAAAAAATTCCACTTTTTGGCACCTCTGATGTCTAAGAAATCATGTTTCAAAATGCATTGAGCTGAAGCAGTGGATTTCTTTTATAGTTCAGGACACAGTTAACAGTTCTCTTGTAGTAGAAAAGCTAAATGGAGCATCTTACAATATTAGAACCAGGGGAGCTCAAAACTAGCACAAATCAGCTGAAAATGGATACAAACAGTCCCTCTGCAATGGGTGGTGAACTTGTGGAACTTGTTGTCACAGAAAGATCTGGAGGCAGACACAATCAGCAGGGGCAGAAATTGGTTAGGATAGTCCATTGGCAGCTGGTCATTCCATGGATCCTAGAAGGGCTAAGCAGAAAAGTCCTCTTTAAAGTCCCAGGTACAACGATTCTGGGCACTGGAAAAGTACAAGGGGAATGGTTTACATAGAGGGGCAGGTTGTGTGTTTCTCCTAAGCACAGTTGTCTTTTGCCATTGTGAGAGATGAGTACTGGGGTGGTTGTACCACTGTTCTAATAAAATAGGACATTTCTTTTGGTTTTGCTTTTAAAATGTTCCATTATAGTAATTCAGAATCTCTTCTGTAGGATGGACAAAAAGCAGTGAAATAAGTGCTGTCTAAATAATCAAAGACATTTGAAATACATCTCATCAGTTAAAAATAATAGTCACATCACTGCTGTGTTCCAAATTGCACCTCAATTCATTCATTACAATACTGGTTAATTTTTTCAAATGGGCAGTCATACTGAAGAAAGGCATTAGATTAGATAATTTATAACATAATTCCCTTAGCTGTCTGTTGTTTACAGATTGTTTGTTCTTTTTTTTCCTCTTTTGTTCTGGGCTGTTCATTGTGACACTGATCATTTCCTTGGCAGTAGCTTATGTATGTTTTAAATATAAAATAGAAACGGTCTGAATAAACAGTGGAAAATATACAATTTCTGCAAAACTGACTGTAGAAGTAAAGTAAGATTCTGCTCGCACTCTAGAGAGTTTTGTCCTTGATTTCTTTGGAAAAGAAAGATTGAACTCTATTATTAAAGTACTGCATGGACAAGCACTCCAGGCACAGTAAGAGCAGTTAATTAAATATTGGTTGTATTTAAGTCAGTATAATGTGTTTTTATCACTTCTCCTCCAGTTTGGTATTTTTTTTAAAAACTTACTTTGTTTTTATATGTATTACTTGTAAGTTTTGTGTGTTGCTTTAATGAAGCCATCTCTGTAAACATTGCTGGAAGGAATAGGAAGCTGTATCCAAACATGGCATTTCTCATGAGTAGCTTATCAAAACCTTGTTTATGACTTTTACCAAGGCTTGACTTGCAACAGTAAGAGGTGATCCACATTCAGACCTTAAGGATATGGTAATAAACATCCATCCTAACCCTCTCCAGAGATCTGGGAGAATACATCAAAAAGAGGCTTATCTTCCCCACTTGAAAAACAGCATATGAAATGCTTAATAAATAGAACTTTATTCTAGGGGAATAGGAAAAGGAGAGCTGACACATAAAAGAGATAATATGCAATAAGCAATTACTCTTTCGCTAAAGTACAGCCATAACAATTTACAGCTATCCCTGATTTCTTGGGGGGACAGCTGCTATGAGCAGACTGTTCTCTGCTTTCTGTGGGAGCTCTGCTCTTTAAAATCTATTTGGTTGGCCAAGGATGAGTGTAGGAGAAGGACAGTCAAGAAATCTAAACAAATACATAGCCAACATATGCATAAATAAGCCAGAAAATCTTCTTCAGTACCCTTTTAATATTACTGCCTTTTTTTTTTTTTTTTTTTTTTTTTTTTTTTTTTTTTTTTTTTTTTTTTTTTTTTTTTTTTTTTTTTTTTTTTGCATTCCTGAGGCCTCAACTGTATTCCAAGGTAAAGCCTTGATAATATCTGATAAAAATGTCAACAGTCCTGGAGGTCATTGACCACTGGTTATCTGTGCCTCAATAAAAAACACTGTCCATGTGAAACTGGAATGCTGGGAAATAAATATCAGACCAGACTTTAGCTGGACATTGCCCAGATAGCAAGATATTAATGCATGATATAATATCATAAGATCAGTGAGTGCTGAAAAACTGTGAAACAAAATTGAAAAGTGAATAGAGAATTCCACCCACTTCTCATCTCCAATGACTGTGAAGGGCTTCCTGGTGTTACTGGCCTGTTCTCTGCTGGACAAGGAGAAGCAGCACTTAACAATTCAGTCCTGGGAGAGGAGAGAGCATTTGGGGTGTGACTGGATGGACACAGGTGATACTGCCACTGCTTTGCTCAGATTGACTTGAAGCTGAGACCAGGCCAGAAGATGGAGAGCTTTGGCACTACCTGGGCATGTTTTTAAGAGGATTTGCTGCAATCCTGTCTCGTAGAGTCAATGTGTGGAGGCCAGACACAGTGCACCCTGTGCCCTTATCTGCCCATGTGGGTGTGCTGGAGGGAGAACACTGCAGTGCTGCCCCACTCACAGATGGGCATAAATCTGCTGAATCAGCAGCAGGATTTGAATTCCTGATGACTAAACATTACCAGCTGTTAATAATATCACTGCCATATGGGACTGCCGCAGTATCCAGGTACATGTCCTGAGGACAAAGGAAATACAGAAACCGAACAACTTCAGTCTCCTACTTGCGCTTCAAGAATTTAATCTTAGACATCAGCACCGGGACTCAATTATGGTAAACGTTAGCAGTGGCCTCGATGGCACTGAAACTGCGTAGGGGACTCTGTGCTGGACCAGCCACAGCAAATAAAGGCCAAATAAAGATCCTGACTCTGCACTGACCACTGGTGCTTTGTTGATCTGCACTGGGGATACAGTTACTGCTCAGATAAACACCCCTTCTGTGTTTCTTTTTAAATTTATTTTTAAATTGGAGAACTCTTTGAACCCAAATTCCAGATCTGAGCTGGAGAAAATATTGATTCAAATGTCATTTCTGAGCCTCATCTGAAGAACAGGCTACACAGTATCCAAATGGAATACTCAAAACTGTGGATCCTCACTTTTTGATGTCCCCTGTAACTCCCCTGCTTATGTTCTACACAATTGTGCTCCAGTCGTGTATGTTCATATAAGCCTCAGTTGTGTCATTAAGCTCATGGAGCCTCACTGAGATTAGAATCAACGTGGAAACAGTTAACAAAAAGGAGCATGTTCTAAAACAGCTGGAATGGGAAATGTGGTGATTAACTGAAAAGAGGGGGGAAACTAGCATTTTGAAAATCCCCGGAGGGTGACAGGCTGTTACCCCAGTGCCCTGCCCTCTGGTGCACCAAAGCCAGCTGTGGGTGCTCTGTGTGAGGACATGGAGCAATGCCTGGTGCCCCCAATTTTGGCAGATGGCAAATCAGTGATTCCTGTGCAGGGAGGTAGAACACACTGGTCATGTTAGAGGAACCTGAGCTGGAAAAAGTGAAACTTCCCCAGGGAAAAACAAGGTGCTGTAATTCGGTGATTTGATAAAAAGAGGAATGCTGACACAGCCTAGAGCTCCTACTGCGGTAAGAATTGGATAGAATTTGAGTTTTAGGATTTTTGGAAAACTACCCAATTTGGAATGTATTTCTACTCTGAAATGAATGAAATCGAAATATATTGAAATTTCTCATTATGTGGGATTGAAATGGAATAATTTCTGGCTCAGTTGATGTGTTTCACACATCATGTTTTGGCTTTTTTTAATCTTTAAACCAATTAGATTTCTCCTTTATATCAAATTTATGTTTATAAGGGTTTTGCAAAATGAAAAAGCAAACATAGTTGTCGTGAATAT